TTTTTCAATATTTGATTTCAATGTTGGATTTAAATTACAAGTTAAAATGTATTTTAGTAAGAATTGACTGCAGCCACTACTGAAAATTCATCAATTTTGACTTACTTTTAAAGCTCTAATATTACAAGACCGCCACATTCAATATTATTATTTTTCATCTAGCCACTAAAAATATGTATCAGTATTGAATTATATAATGTTATTAAGCTAATTTTTAAAGCAAGTGAGGCATTTTTACTCTATGGGGCAGTACCTACCTATATAAAATATACGTATTTTAATTTATCCAATTAATCACTGAAGTCAAAATTCAAGACTTCTTCGATATTTAGAGTTCAGTTGGTCGATATTGCATTTTCTTATAATAAAATTGTGATATCGCAGCTGTCATACGAAATACTACTGCAGTCTTGCGTGTTTATAAATAGAAATGTTTTACTAAATTTGTTTAAAAAAATTGTGAAATGCTATAAGTCTAACTTTGTGGGTTTATATGAGACTATTTCATAATAATTGAAAAAGTGTTTGTAAGTTTTTAAGTTTTTATAGTACCAAACGCATAGGTAAAGAACTATCTTTGAATAGCTTTTTCTCAAGACTAAACTTTTTCAATCGTGGCAGTATTGTTCTATAGTGATGAACTCGACAGTGAATGACAATGAACACAAATATCGACTATATTTTGTTCAAATTTAGGCGTCCGAGCAAAAAATGAACAAAAGTATTATGGAAGCCGAGAGCAACGAAGACAAAATGGCAGAAGTGTACAACGCGATCACAGGAGACTTTTTGACGGAAAATCCCGAACTCGGGTTCAACAGTGCTTTAGGGCCCGGAAAAATATCGACGTCGCTCTACAAAGGATTAACGCCGGCCATGAAACAAGCGATATACGAACAAAGCCAGTCAAAGAGCAGAACTTAAGGTATTTCATCTTCGTACAATTAAGAATAAATTAAAATTACTAATGAGTAATGATCGAAATAGTTTATTATTAATTTTATAATAATATTTACCTACCTAGCTGTCCCGCCCGGTGTAACCCGTGATAAAGATTTTATTTTTTTTTGTAAAAATATTTGTAAAAAAATGTGTATTGGTATATGCTATTAGGTACGATTTGTGTAAATTCTCATTTCGCCTTGATCCCACACTAACCTCAACAAGTTAGGGGATTTTAAAAATGTATATTATGCACGTATTTATGGGTGTATCTATTATTATATATTTCATCCCCCCTTGTAGAATTCCTAAATAAGCCACTGCATAATAGTTGCTTATACTATGTAGTGTGTACTAATAGTACTAGTAACTAGTATATAATGGTTTTGAAAATTTTGATGAACATAATTCAAAATCAAATGGGTAGTTTCTTAGTTGTTAAAATGTTTGTACTAAGGATAATAGTTATTAAAAATAGTTTTACAGAAGTATAAAAAAAAACGTAATATTTGATCTAGTATTTATTATACATATATTTGGGCCATTTACACAAATTATTAATGTTGATAGATTAATATTAATTATTAGAATTTTCAATTTAAATAGCTCATCTCTATCTTTATAAACCCGTTCAGGATCATCAACAAAGTTAAGTCACTAAAAACTACTGGGTAACATTTTTCTTCTGATTCGTCAAATTTTCCAAAATAATTATCCACTGAATAATTTACAGTTGAAAAACTGGACACTCATTAAGAAGTAAAAAAAATCTCGAGCATTTTAAAATATTATGGTCTTTCAGTGAATTTAAAAATTCCAAAACAGATTTTGAATAAATGCAATTTTTTATTGAATAAAAAAAGAGGAAGGACATGCTTATCGAATCATCCTGTAATAAAAAATATTTTATTTGTACACAATATAGGTACATACTACTTTTTAGTTTTTAAAATCCAAAATATTACGACTGTTCTTAAATATTAGAATTTATTATTATTTTAGAATCGGGTCGGAGCGATGAATTGATAGATTTTACAATATTATGTGCTTTATTTCCCAAGAATAAGAACTCAACAATGGTCCGTATAATATTATTTTCTTTAAAATTTAAATAATATGTAGGTAATTCGTAATTTAAAAAAAGAATTCACCAACATATTATTAATATAAAATATGTATAAATCTAACATTGAAATAGCAATACCCAACTCTTGTCAGGATTTGAATTGGACAAAAATTAAGACAATTCATTTAGGTGCTTTTAAATGAATTCGGGTTATTTTTGTAATTAACTACAAATTTTTCAGAATTTATTGGTAATGTATCGAGAGTTATAGTAGATATATAATATTGTATGCCCTCTCCGTCCATCAAGTATCCTTAATAACACCCCATTCATCAATATTAAGACTAACAATAAACAGAAAATAGTAAAATTGGTTTTATATAATTTCAGATACGAAAAGAGGCATACGATAAACAAGAAAAAGATTGGGCCGATCTTTTAAATATACTGGCCAGGTGCGGCACACTCAGCGATCGAGAAATGCAAAAGAAAAAAAGGTATTTATAATACTCTTCTAAGAAGATTTAGTTTTAATGTTGAAACAAAAATGTGTGGTCACAATCTAAAACGTCGTGGTATTGCCATTTTTTCAAAATCGAGTTATTTACTCTATCTATACATAATAACTTATTAATGTTAAAAAAAGGCGGTAATTAAAAAAAAAATCAATTCTGTTTTACCTATCTGTAGTATTGTATAGGTTTAAACGGGTTTGAAAATTTGTTTTTCCCCAAAATTTACAAAAGAAACTGATTTTTGTTCACGTTCGTAAATAAAATTCGTTCATATTCATTTTTTTTTTTATATTTTATGAAGGAAACAGGTCCAGCTTCATTCCTACAAAGATAACTCGTTTTAGGAATCGGGTCATCCTTTTAGAACGTGTTTTTTCTCGACACTGTATGAAATTATTCATAAATGTATACACATAATTTGATGCAACAGAAAGACATAACTATTCTAAATACAATTTTACCTATTTTTTCTATCTTAGACATAATAGTGTATGGGGAAATAAAGAAAACTGGTTTTATTTATATTTTTTCCCTTAATAGTGGGACAAATTATGGATTTTAGAAAATTTGATACCTAATGTCCTAATATTTCATTACCTACAAGTTTTAACTTGTAATGGCTTACAGATTATTTTGATGATTTTTCGAATTACCTATCTAAATAATTATATTATACAACATTAATTGATTGAACGCTTTAAATTGTAAATAATACATTTTATTTATATACTTTTAGAAACTTGGAAGATGGAATAAAGGACTTCAACTTAGTTCTAGCTAACGAACAGAAAAATAAAGAAGAGTATTTGAATAACGTTTTGTACAAAACTAAAGCTTCGAATGAATTTTTTGATCAGTTTAATAAAACCAGTCGTTAATACACATATACCTACTTTTAGTCAAGTGGAAAATGTATTATTTTTTTTAAGTATTTCAATGATAATTATGATGAAAGTGATTACATAGAATCTGAATTTTACAGAGAGAGGAACTTATTGAATATGCTGCATTAAAGAACATATAAAACCAGGCGTCTCGTTGATAAAAACCTATTGCATTTTGGGCACCAAGGTCAATCTCCCAATATCAACTAGGAAGTACAACTTCCTTTGACATGTCAAAAATAAGTCCGTGTACATCCCTTGTGAAATCTTCAGTTCTAATGGAAGTATAGTCTGTATTGTCTGAAAGGTAATTCATTTTTTCAATATTTGATTTCAATGTTGGATTTAAATTACAAGTTAAAATGTATTTTAGTAAGAATTGACTGCAGCCACTACTGAAAATTCATCAATTTTGACTTACTTTTAAAGCTCTAATAATACAAGACCGCCACATTCAATATTATTTTTTTTCATCTAGCCACTAAAAATATGTATCAGTATTGAATTATATAATGTTATTAAGCTAATTTTTAAAGCAAGTGAGGCATTTTTACTCTATGGGGCAGTACCTACCTATATAAAATATACGTATTTTAATTTATCCAATTAATCACTGAAGTCAAAATTCAAGACTTCTTCGATATTTAGAGTTCAGTTGGTCGATATTGCATTTTCTTATAATAAATTGTGATATCGCAGCTGTCTACGAATACTACCTGCAGTCTTGCGTGTTTATAAATAGAAATGTTTTACTAAATTTGTTTAAAAAAATTGTGAAATGCTATAAGTCTAACTTTGTGGGTTTATATGAGACTATTTCATAATATTTGAAAAGTGTTTGTAAGTTTTTAAGTTTTTTATGTACCAAACGCATAGGTAAAGAACTATCTTTGAATAGCTTTTTCTCAAGACTAAACTTTTTCAATCGTGGCAGTATTGTTCTATAGTGATGAACTCGACAGTGAATGACAATGAACACAAATATCGACTATATTTTGTTCAAATTTAGGCGTCCGAGCAAAAAATGAACAAAAGTATTATGGAAGCCGAGAGCAACGAAGACAAAATGGCAGAAGTGTACAACGCGATCACAGGAGACTTTTTGACGGAAAATCCCGAACTCGGGTTCAACAGTGCTTTAGGGCCCGGAAAAATATCGACGTCGCTCTACAAAGGATTAACGCCGGCCATGAAACAAGCGATATACGATGAACAAGCCAGTCAAAGAGCAGAACTTAAGGTATTTCATCTTCGTACAATTAAGAATAAATTAAAATTACTAATGAGTAATGATCGAAATAGTTTATTATTAATTTTATAATAATATTTACCTACCTAGCTGTCCCGCCCGGTGTAACCCGTGATAAAGATTTTATTTTTTTTGTAAAATATTGTAAAAAAATGTGTATTGGTATATGCTATTAGGTACGATTTGTGTAAATTCTCATTTCGCCTTGATCCCACACTAACCTCAACAAGTTAGGGGATTTTAAAAATGTATATTATGCACGTATTTATGGGTGTATCTATTATTATATATTTCATCCCCCCTTGTAGAATACCTAAATAAGCCACTGCATAATATAGTTGCTTAATTACTATGTAGTGTGTACTAATAGTACTAGTAACTAGTATATAATTGTTTTGAAAATTTTGATGAACATAATTCAAAATTCAAATGGGTAGTAGTTTCTTAGTTGTTAAAATGTTTGTACTAAGGATAATAGTTATTAAAAATAGTTTTACAGAAGTATAAAAAAAACGTAATATTTGATCTAGTATTTATTATACATATATTTGGGCCATTTACACAAATTATTAATGTTGATAGATTAATATTATTATTAGAATTTTTCAATTTAAAATAGCTCACATATCTATTATAAACCCGTTCCAGGATCATTCAACAGAAAGTTAAGTCACTTAAAAACTACTGGTAAACATTTTATTCTGATTCGTCAAATTTTCCAAATATTATCCACTGAATAATTTACAGTTGAAAAACTGGACACTCATTAAGAAGTAAAAAAAATCTCGAGCATTTTAAAATATTATGGTCTTTCAGTGAATTAAAAATTCCAAAAACAGATTTTGAATAACTGCATATTTTTATTGAATAAAAAAAGAGGAAGGACATGCTTATCGAATCATCCTGTAATAAAAATATTTTTATTTGTACACAATATAGGTACATACTACTTTTCTAGTTTTTTAAAATCCAAATATTACGACTGTTCTTAAATATTAGAATTTATTATTATTTTAGAATCGGGTCGGAGCGATGAATTGATAGATTTTACAATATTATGTGCTTTATTTCCCAAGAATAAGAACTCAACAATGGTCCGTATATATTATTTTTTCTTTAAAATTTAAATAATGTGGTAATTCTTAATTTAAAAGAATAATTCACCAACATATTGTTAATATAAAATATGTATAAATCTAACATTAAAATAGCAATACCCAACTCTTGTCAGGATTTGAATTGGACAAAAATTAAGACAATTCATTTAG